AAGTCATAATTATGAGATAGCTAAGTCATAATTATGAGATAGCTAAGTCATAATTATGAGATACAAGTTTTATTTTTTATCAGGGTGGCGGAAATGGGCTTCCACAGAAACCAAAGTGCTGCACAACAGAATAAATAAAACAAAATCAAGTAAATTATTCCGCAAGCAGAAAAAGAAAAAAACATTGGTTTGTGTCCATGTCTTAAATATGTCCAAACTGCCGACATGTTCTTATTTTCTCTCGTTATCTTCCTCTGTTATTTGGGGTGGAGGGCGTTGGAATAACTTGTCGGTCGGTGCATCAGCCTCACTGCCTGGTATGGCATGTAGTTTACCCTTCGAGCTGCAGCGCAGTCCAGGAGGGGACAAAAGCAGTATCTGTTAAGAGTATCAGCCGGCTTTTATGAGTACAAGTACGACTACTTGATGCTGGTATCAGGCCCGATACCGGTATTAGGACACCCCTAGTCAAAAGGTCAATTATATATACAATATAAATTCAATATACAATAAAAATACAAACCATAAATTAAATGAAAGGCAGCAGAAGAGGAAATAATCTTGTGATTTCTGCCCCTTTTTCTCAAATGAATAAATTCAATCAAAAATAATCTTCAATTAAAAAAAAATAATAATAAAAGAATCATAAAAACACACAGCACCAGCTGAAATGATGCAGCATTTCAGCCATTATGTTGTGTTTAACAGTGACTTTGGCCCGTGGCGTTAACGGTCTGGCTAATCTTTACGAGAACATTTGGTTTGAGTTTGTCTGTGATCCTTCATCCAGCAGATCGTCTCCACTTTGTTTGTTCTTTAGGCGGAACTGAAGTGAGCTGTTCAGGAGAAACCTGAACAAAACAAAACAGTTTAATCTAAGAAAGTTTATGAGCATTAAAGACTTTTAGGGAAGCAAATCAGTCGAATATGTGAAGTTGTTCATCGAGTCTGTTTTGTTCTTGATTTATTGGAGTTGAACAATGGTTCCTTTGGACGACAAGGTGCAGCTGGAGGGTGAGGTCAGCTCAGGGGTCACTTCCTCCCCCTAACATTAAACAGAGGAGGAGTTTTTTTTTTTTTTTTTACACATTCATCAATGAAGCCTTAACTCAGCTCCTCAGGCAGTTTTACAACACAGACTGGATTTATGGCTCTGGATCTCGAGGATCTGTTCCTATCAGTTTCTGCTGAAAAGTCTGGAAACTACTGATCTAAACGATATTTAAGTACAAATGTGTCGCATAAATCATCACTGATTCGTCCTCGTTCTGAGACAACTAGATAAAACGTACAAGTATGAAGACACATCCTTTCTTTTAACCGTGATCAGATTCGATGAAATGATCTGTGAACAACTGTAACCTTTCTGCCTGCATGTGATCAGCCTAAGTGAGATTTCTCAGAAAGGATCTCTGAAAACCCCTCAAAGCTACATCCTGTTCTTCACTCGGAACTACTCCGGTGATAAAATGTTATAAACAGAACTAAGTAAACAAGAACGTCAACGTGAAYGTTGATGAATCGATTCAGAGATTGTAAAATAAAAGCATCGCCTTCAGTAAACAATCTAAACAGAAAAGGTTTCACAGGTTTTTTAATTCTTCTGCTCAACTTTAAATCTTTCTGTCGACATTGTTATGTTTTATTGATCTGAYTTTATCAGGTGGACAAAGAAACTTGATAAGATGTTCGCTCAGAATTCAGTAAAAACATTAAACCAGAAAGATGTGTTGACGTCTGACAGACRGACAGCCTGACGCCAAAACACCTGAAACTGATGAGCAGGGCCGTACCTGAGGACCAAAGTCCTTACGCAGAGACTCGAGACCATAAATGAGGTCTAAAGGTCGTACACAGAGACTCAAGATCCAACATGAGGTCTAAAGTCCCTACGAAGAGACTCAAGTCCATACATGAGGTCTAAAATCCCCGTAGCTGTACATTAAATGTACAATGAAGCTGTACAATAAATAATTCTAACTTTCAARATGAATAAAAAGCCAGAGTGAGCAAATGCATTAAGTTTGTTATATCTGGTCTTAATTATCTTATCCACATTTTCAATTTAAAGTATTAAAAATAAAAATAATCATTTACTGTAAAATTCCTGCAGGAGTTACAGAAAGATAAAAATATGAAATAAAAAATATTTTTAACTGATCCTGTTTTGTTTCAAATTATTTAAAATAAGGAAACATGTTGTTAAAATAAACGCAGTATGTACAAAAAAATGCCTTTCAAATGGGAATCTCTTGCCGGTAATTGATATTGATCGCCCCCTGCTGGTGGTCAGATGTTACTACACCGTTTTTATTTTAGTGTTTTTGTTTGTTTAGTAAAAAAAAAAAAAGAAACACGAGAAAACCCATAAAAAAACAAAAACAAAGTGACGACGAATAAAGTGTTCAACCAGTGTAAAGCGCAGTGAGTAGAAAAACATTTGTAACAGATAAACATCCCTTAAGTCCAGGACAAATGTCAAAGACCTGAAACTGTCAGGCACAAAAAATAAAAAGAGAAACAGTCACAAAAAACAAACAAACAAACAAACAAACAAACAATAATAAAAAACATAATTAGCAGCAAACTTTGTATAACTAAGTTACAAATCTTAAATAATTCAGTGTTCCTCATGAAAAAAACTGAAGATGTAACAAAAAACCCATGAAAGTAAAAAGTTTGAACACATATAAGTGCAGAAGTAAGAAATAAAAAGATAAAAGTACCACAGAAGCTGTAAATATTCAGGTATAAAATAACATTTGTGCTCCTTAAAGCTCTGAAAATAAAGTCTCTTTTTACAATAATAATTTACAGAAACATTAAAGCACCAAATCTT